GCGATTAATCGCGATTAATCATTTGACAGCACTAATTTTAATATACATTTTATTCATTTTTAAATATCTATAATATTATATCATTTAAATTTAATACATTATATAATATATTAATATTATAAATCTATTATAATATTAATAATATGCCATATTTCTTAAAAATATTTTTATTTTATTTTAAGTATTTATACCTCAGGTAACACTATTTATTCATAATAAACAGTAAAGGGAATCTAATGACAATTACCTTTAAGAATAATGAGAACTGGAAAAAAAAAATGTAAACATTTATTATAAATAATTACAACTCACCAGGAAAGCACCTTTAGTTTTCATGAAATGCCACAAAGTTAACGGTTAATTAACAAAACCAATAATATCGTAGCCTGATTGCTTCACCATGGTAATACTATAGCTTTTGGACATATACTGTGTTAATACCATGCTTTTTTTATTTTTGGGTGAAATATGATCTAGACAGGTTTTTGCGAGATTAAAGGGTTAGTTAACCCAAAAATGAAAATTCTTTCATTAATTTCTCACCCTCATGTCGTTTCAATCCCGTAAGACCTCTGTTCGTCTTCGGAACACAAGATATGTTTATATTTAAGATATTTTTGATTAATTCCGAGAGCTCTCTGACCCTCCCATAGACAGCAAGGATCCGAACACGATCAACGTCCAGAAATGTAGCAAGGAGATCCGTAAAATAATCCATGTGACATCAAGCGTTCAACCGTAATTTTACGAAGCTACGAGAATACATTTTGTGTGCAAAAGAAAAAAAAAAGACTTTATTCAACAATCCGTCTTCTTATTCTTATTATTTTATTCAAATATTGTCTAATTGTGTCTTATTTACTTTTAAACTTTTTCAAACTAGACTTGCTTGCACTACCGTCTTAAATCATATTTATATCACTGACGAAAAATATTTTGTCTTACATTAAAATAGACCAATTTAATTAGCCTATTCTATTTACGTTTGTATGTGAACTCGAAATCAACCCCAACTTTGCTTTAAAAAGCATCGCAAGATCTCCTAACCGAAGATCACATGATCACAAACGGCAATCACTTCCGTGAAGTGACCATTGCATGTTCCCTTCGCTAACGGACTTCTGGAAGGGCCCTTCGTGAAGGGATTCAGTTGTTCACTTTAGTTTGGAACGTCCCCGAAGTGCCCTTCAAGGGCGCAAAAAAGCCGTTTGGAATTCACCCGTTGTTTTCATCCAAATCAAAGCACAAACACGTACACGGCTGACACAGAACAACATACGCTGTTTGCATTCAGTGGATACTCTCCAAAATGGCGCTAGGGTGACGCTGAGGAGACGAATTTTTTTTTTTTCGCACAAATAGTAGTCTCGTAGCTCCGTAAAATTACGGTTGAACCCCGGATGTCACATGGATTATTTTACTGATCTCCTTGCTACGTTTCTGTGCGAGTAATTAATGACAGAATCTTCATTTTTGGGTGAACTAATCCTTTAACCCTAACATATTTAGTTGCTCCAATCATAAGCAGCTCAAATCACAACTTTAAAATGAAGGACTGATAGGAAAGGCTGTTAATGTGGCAGAAGTTGTGCAGAAAGATGCTAAAGGTCAGCATCACACAAACACACAGCAGCAGTGGAAGCGAGGAAAGTGACGCGGCTCTCAGCAGCAGCAGCAGCGGTGTGTGTGTGTGTGTGTGTGTGTGTGTGTCTGCTGATTCTCGACAGGACGGTGGCGGCTCACAGGGGTTGGTCCTACCTCGCACCTGTCTCTCCAGGCCCAGGATGACCTGCACGGCCTGCTGGAGGATGATGAGTTTAGTCTGAGCCTTGTCACTCTTCAGGTGCGGCTGCACCATGCGGCCGAGCTCCCTGAAGGCTTCGTTAATGTCGCGCACACGAACCCGCTCCCGAGCGTTATTGGCCATGCGACGCTCGCGCTCGCGCTGCTCCTTCTCCTCCACCATCAGACACTCCTCCGACACGCTGCTGCCAGGGGGACCGCCGCTCGTTAGTCATTTAGCCTCTCGTTAAGCCCATTCTACAACTAAATCAACTGTCTCGGCTTCATTAGGTTTAAAACAACCATACTACTCAACTACTAAATACTCCAGAAGAACCGGTTAATTGCAGTACATTTACAAATGGTTCTTTAGTGAAAATATATGTGCGTGTTTATATATAAAAATGTATATTTAAAATAATGGTTTATATAGTAATAAAAATTAATTTATATATATATATATATATATATATATATATATATAGTTACATTATATTAATTATTTTTTAAATAATAAATCTATTATATTTTTCATATTATAATATATTATTACTAACTATCATGATAACATAACATTATTTTATTTTGCATTATAATTATATAAATTATAATTTTACTAAAATTATATGACATATTTTTACATTGTAATTACCATTTTTTTAATGCATATAATATTTTTATTACATATATTTGAAAATATTCAAATATTATTAAAAAAAATAAATAAAAAAAATATATATATTTTTTCCACTTAAGAAAATGTCCACAATTTTAAAATGCCCAAAAAGGCACCCCCCCCAAGCGTCATTAATCCTGTTTTACATGTTAAACAATACACAGATATTTAAGACGATTTCAAAAGCAGAAACAAATGCTGCATTTTAAACTCCATACCCACTTGAAGTGGTCTGAACCTATTAAACCAATTAAAACTGCACTGATTCCAGTTAAACGAGGGTTGCAGAGAGGGATCCAGTGGCGGTGCAGAGAGGAGAGCGGGACGCGACCGATCCGGAGCATCTTTCTTTCGTTGTGACCGGACACGCAATTTCAAAGCAGACACAGCCCGAGTGTCAGTGGCTTTCAGGAGGCCTGTGGGATCTGCCGCGGAGCGAAAGAGCGCAAGACGAGAGGACAGCAAGATGAGAGAGAGGCACCGTCTGCCAAGAACCGAACAGAAACACACACTGCCACTGAGAGAGCCAGACAGAAGACAGGATGAGGTGAATGCGACTGTCTCATCGTAAACGCATCCCGCTGCTGAGATGCATTTATGCAGCATGAGACTAAAAACCACTGCGGCCATCTGCAAAGAAAAGGGCTGAAGAACAGATGGAGAGATGGGTAAAAAGAAAAACAACCTGGCAAACAGAGGGTTAAACATGACATGCAAGCATTAATCAGACCATTACAATCTGAAGCGAGTAAAACGTTAAGGAGGAAACACAAAAGAACAAGTCCGTCTCTTCTAATCTGCGGCGTTAATGCCTGCGGAAAAAGCATTTCACAGCGGATCGGAGGGGTTACGGACATGCAACACTCAAATTGGGGGAAAAAGAAAACCATAAGGTGCATGAACACAGATTTAAAAAGGATTGAACAACTAGAAAGGAAAACAGAAGCATAGATGATGTCCACTGTGGAAATCAGGATGGTTGCATGCATTATGCATAAACGGCTGCATTCATACTAGTCTTGAAGGAATAATCAAAATGCCATCATTTACTCAAGAGTTTCTTTTGTGGAAATTAATAGGGAACAGATGCTGTCAAACTGCAAAAATGACAAAAAAGCACCATAAAGTAGTCCATATGACTAGTGCACTACATTTCAAGTCTTCTGAAGTCAAATGAACGTGTTTTACGAGGAAATCGGCTGAAATGTAACCCTTTATTCACTGAAAATCTCTTTTGTGCATGTGTTTATTCATACCAAGACACGTTTGCACAAGGGTTATTATTGTTAACTAAAACTAAAACCACTAAAAACATTTTTGAAATTATATTCAAGTTGAATTTAAGTTGAAAACGTTTAAGTGAAATAAAATATTAGATGAAAAACAAACTAAAAGAAAATCAGAAATGTTGCTTTTTTGACAACTGAATAAGTTCAAATTACTAAAACTACTGGAAATAAAAAACAAAACTAAACTAAAACATAGTTTTAGTGATAAGTAGCACAGGTATATTTGTAGCAATAGCCAACAATACATTGTATGGGTCAAAATGATTGATTTTAATTTTATGCCAAAAATCATTAGTATATTAAGTAAAGATCATGTTCCATGAAGATATTTTGTAAATTTCCTACCGTAAATATATCAAAACTTAATTTTTGATTAGTAATATGCATTGCTAAGAACTTCATTTTGACAACTTTAAAGATGATTTTCTCAATATTTAGATTTTTTTGCTCCCTCAGATTCCAGATTTTCAAATAGTTGTATCTCAGCCAAATATTGTCCTATCCTAACAAACCATACATCAATGGAAAATTGACCCTTTTTGACTGGTTTTGTGCTCCAGGGTCACAATTGGCGTCAGGGCCGTCGGTACGAGGGAGAATTCTGATTGGATGCTCAGTTTAGCGAATGAGTCACTGCCCCAGAATTAAAGTAAAAATTGACGAAAACTAGTAAATGAAGGCAGCACAGACAGAAGGCTGTTCTAATTTTACGTGATCTTTCCCAAGCATTCCAATATGCAAATATTTTGTTTACGTTTCGTATATCTGCATATATCTCGTACATAATTGTTTCGGTCTCTCCTTTTAAATGATGAATATATACTATTGATAGCTGCTGATATAGACAGCTAATTCCTCTCACGCAGGCGCAGAACGCACGTGTTAGTTTGCAGTCGGCTGTAGTCTGTAGGGCTGTCAAAAGGGCTGAAAAACTAAATTTGAATTTTGTACTTAAATATTATCAATATTCGAATTTAAAAGGCATAATTTCAGTTAGGGGGGATAAAAGATTTTGGCTCCTCTCCTGTGGCCACAAGAGGGCGCATCGAGCAAAATATTACTAATGCACGTTTATTCAATGCAATAAAATAACATGACTCTCTTTGAAAAATAGTGCATAATGTTTAAAATACTGTTTATAAACCATATATTTAGAACAACAACAATTAGAAACAAAACAGAATCATGTATGTATGTATAGTTTAATACAAAGGACCGAAAACCAATCACAAAGAGTACTTTTTCATTTAAAAATGTGAGATGCAGTAGGATGGGGAAAAACCGCCATAAACTCTAGAGACATGTTTTTTTAAAAGTTGAACTTACATTAATTTTACACGGCTTTCTAAACATGTGTCTCTCTTGTGCGAGACGTGAGTGCAATGGTGATAGATGTCCCTCTAGAACAGTGGTTCCCAATCCTGGTCCTGGAGAACCCCCAACACTGCACCTTTTTGGTGTCTCTCTTATCAGACACTCACATTTGAGGTCTTGGAGTCTTCACTAATGAGCTGATGAGTTGAATCAGGTGTGTTTGAATAGGGAGACATCTAAAATGTGCAGTGTTGGGGGTTCTCCAGGACCAGGATTGGGAACCACTGCTCTAGAAAATGCGACAAATATGCGTTCTCTGTGAACGGCTTGGTTTCAGTTTTGACATAAA